CCAAAATGAAATTTGAAACGCGGTATAGATCCATATGTAAACACCTATTTTTAGGACGAAATGGATAGTATATATGCTACTTACGGAATTCGAAATCCTAATTTTTTTGCACAGCTATAATGTTACGAGATGATGAATTTAATGGTTTTTAAACACTTGAATTGCAATTTTTGATGAGTTATGGGTGAGCCTTTACTTATTTTGATTGGGTTGCAGCCCTATCAATTCATTTTCGTTTCTAAAGAGCGTATAATCTGTAAATCCTTAGCGGATATGGAGCACTTTGAGCTCTTTAGAGCTGCGTGACGCAGAAGATGTGTTCTTCCATGGATTTCTTCATTTGTAAGTATCAAAGAGCAAGCAGGTAAGAAGGCGCTTTCTCTATCCCTCTGCAATTCAGAGCATTGAAAATGGAGTAAGAAAAATTGGCACTTGCTTTGTGTTTCTTTCAGACAAGGACGACTTTTATTGGTAAATAATCGTGGATATCATACAGAACAAATACTCCTCTCTCTCTCTCTCACACACACATTACAGTTATCATCATTCTAAAAGGAAATGTACCAAAACACAAGATGAGAAATTCACTGCATCTAACAATAGTGTACAACAAATAGAAAGCACATCCGAACTGCTAAAAAGAGGCTTTACTAGCATTCCAAAACCAGTCACGTAATCTGACATGTCTGGCTTGATGACAACTATTAAAGCTCAACAATTCTAACCCAATAGCAGGTGGTGGTTCCAAGTAAATGCCAAGAAATGAAATCAATGGGTCTGCTCGGGACTTCTTTATGCTGAGTCTCAATACCTGAGACTCCACTGCTTGGAAACGTTGCAGCCTTTTATACCCCACAGTCGTTCCATTGACTATTGTTTCCCATTCTCCATCCTTCTGCACATCAAGATGGTATTTGATAACCCTTTGCCCCACATGTATTGCCTCTTGAAGTTGCAGCACATTGAATGATAATGGCCTTCCAAAATCAAAGTATAAGGCCCACCCATCCTTAGCCCCTTCCTCAGGTGCCCAATAACTGTAAATTCCCTCTTTGAGTACCTGAGAAGGGCCAAATTTAGGGTCATTAAATCCTCCACGTGTGCTACTAGCCGTTATAGTGGCAGTCTCGGCTAAATTTAGTGAGAATGTTTCATGCCTTAGCTTCGTGAAGTCGTGGAGAACTTGAACATCTTCATCAGATATGAGACCTGACGAATTTGGCGGAACATTGAGTAATAAAAGACAGTTCCGGCCCACGGATTTATAGTATATATCAAGTAGCTCTAGGGCTGATTTGGGGTGCTTAGAGCTGTGCCAGAACCAACCAGGCCTGATTGATCCATCACACTCGGGGGGAACGCAGTCATGCCCATGTGGGTCACCTCCATTACCTGATTGCATGCTATGGATGAGTAAAGAAGGTATTTCCTAGTCACTATTCAGTGTTTAGCTCCAAGAAATACTAACAAATGAATTTTTTTGACAACATTGTGCAGGATAATGCCAGAGAATGCAAGCTTCTGTTATCAAGAGCACGTAAAAAGGAAGAGAAAGAATTGAGTTTGCTTTTTTTATGAAATCAGGAAGAGCGATGCCAGGTTTAGTGTTATCTTGTAGGAATGTATTTTTTTCCTTCATTCAATATTTGTATTTTGGATTGTTTCTCTCTTTACATTTTGAAGTAACTGGCATGCCTTTGACTAGTATGTGCATGCATGTATGTGTATTTGTTCATGTGGGTGGCTATTACATTCCAAATATCAATAAAAAAGGAAAAGTGATAAGAATAATCACCAATGTATCCTTATCATATACTGGACATGACTTTGAAGATCAGAAACTTTCCTTTTAGGGCTTAACTAAGTATCCAGCAGCCATTGCTTGTGATATTAGACAAGTGCATTCAATCTTTCTGAGCTTACTGCGAATATAAGCATGCATAAGGACACCACTGATTTCCTGTACAAAATGTTCATGAGGAATAGGTCTACACTGTAGCAAATTCCAATGGTCATAAGGAGAGCTTCTTAGATGACCTTCTAAACCATTATCTGTGTAATGACCTTCCACAACTTTATCAAGTTCCTAACAATGTTTTCGAAAACATGCCTTTATTTATCTTGCCTTCAGTTGTCATAATTTGCAATTAAGTCTTCACAAGAATTTTGAGTTCGTGAGTTTAAAACCATGCTATATGGTAGTTTTATGAGATCCAGATAACACCTAAAGTGACAGTCTTTTTGTGACATGTCGTTCTATCTATATGTTATAATTTTTGCATACTGATGAATTAAGTATGAGAACCATTAAATCAGACTGAATTAGGACATTTGTATGATGTAAATTCGTAGCATGTATATTATGTAAGAAACAATAGCAAAGAAATTAAAATAAAAAACTCAAAATATACTTGCTATCCCAAAGAGATAGTCAACCACATTAGTTTAAAAAGGTCAACCAAATCTGAACTCAGAATTCGAATTCACAGAAGACAGAATAAAGAAATAACAGAATGGTGAAGTTCTGCACATGTGTGGGAGGGTTTCATATTTTGTATGGCTTCTTTATGAGATTAGGCACCTGATTTCTTTGAAATTAATCAAGTTAATTCACAAAAAGTTGGATTTACAGTACCAATTTATAACAAATAATAGCTCATGAAAGGAGGTAGTTTCAACAAATACTACCTTAATCTAGCAGAAAGTTCTTCTAAGCAAGATTAATGATGGAGCAAGGGCAGGCAGATGGTGCAGCAAATATTTATCTAAGAAATGGCAACTATTGGTATCAGGAGCGGATCCCTGTAAAGAGAATTCAGTACCGACAGGAGATCTTCAGCATAGGGTGCCAAAGATAAGCATTTTTTCTAAATAAATGCTATGACTGAGACACAATCATCACCTATAGACTGTACAAAAATAATAACAATTCCTATGGAGTGAAACTCCTTTAAGTGATTTCAATAAACTCAATTTTGTAAGAAAATTTGAAAATTAACTTAACTCTAAAAGATGCAAAAAAATGAAATTACAATGCAAGTGCAATTCATATGAACACCATATGAAATTCTGTGGTGTAAACGCAGGCAGACATAAAGTTTCGTGTGCAGGATGCCGTTTCTTATGGGTATATACATCTGCTTACACATACATACGCATATATACACATACATATGCAAATAAGATGTTGGTCTATGTATTAATAAATGTATACATGCATCTGCAAATGGGTGGCTATTTCTTTCCACATGAAACTGAATTTGTAAGCAACAATTTTCTTTCAGTAAATGACATGATCAAGAGCTAATCATAATTAATGTATATATAGAGATACAAAGCAAAGCATAGAGAGAAAAAGAATAAAGAAAGGCACATTGAAATGGAATAGAAGACCATAAGAATGAGGAGACGTAAATGAGAGCCTGGCTTACTCGTAATCTGTATGACCAATAGTATCAGAGGAGGCATTGAACAGGGACCAACAGGTAGAACCTGCAACTCCACCCTCATCACCAACCCACCTGCAATCTGGACCAGCATCAGAGAAGATGACAGCCCCAGGCTGAAGCTGGTGAATCACATGACACCATTCTTCAAATTTATACTCCATATCCTTCTCTCGCTCACCCTTGGAACCATCCAACCATACCTCCTTAATCTCCCCATAACTTCAACAGCCACAAAGGCACAAACCAAACACCTTCAAAAAATAAAAACTGATCCAACAAAAGGCTGCACAAAAACAAAAGGCTTCAAAAGCCTCTTTTTTGGGTAAAAACATTAGAAAGCTTGAGCAACAAATCTTTACATCACCTACCATCAATAGACTAAAAGAATGCAACAACCCACCAACTGAACATCAGAAAACTAATCATCTTTTAGGTTTGAGGGCATTAAAGGCCATCGATAAATTCACAGTGAAGCTTTGGAAAGCCATTGGTTTATGTAATCAAACAAGAACGGAAGGAAAAACAGAAGAAAAGAAGAAAATGGAAAAAAATTAGCAAAAAAGAGAGGAAAACAAGTAATTCCCTCAAACCAAAAAAGATAAGAACCAAAACCAACAAAAGCTCATCACAAACTCCATGTTTTCTCTATCTCACTCTCTAGACTGGGGAAAAAAACCCGAAAATCCCATCCTTTCTGGAACTTACTTAGAAAGCAATTCAGTCATCTGCCCCAAAAAGAACTCATTATACTCCAACGTCCGGCCATAACTGGACTCATGGCGATCCCACGGAGAGAGATAGAGCCCGAGCCCAAGACCCATCTCTTTAGCAACCTCTGCAACCTCACTGACTACATCCCCGGTGCCATTACGCCACTTACTTGACCTCACCTAATAATCAGTGAGAGAAGAAGGCCAAAGGCAAAACCCGTCGTGATGTTTAGCGGTGATAATGAGCCTGGAGAAACCAGCGTCCTTAGCGACTCGAGCCCATTGCTTTGGATCCAAGGCAACAGGTTGAAGATAGATGGGTCGGAGTGGCCAGTGCCCCATTCGGAATCGGTGAAAGTGTTGGGTCCGAAGTGAAGGAACATGGTGGATTCTCCGAGCTGCCATGAGAGCGGGGAAGCAGAGGGAATTGGCAACAATGGGAGAGGCAGAGGGATTGCAGAGCAGGAAGCAAAGAGATGGAGAAGGAGATTAAGAGAGAGAAAGAGGAGAGAGAGGGGGGATTGGGGGTGGAAATGCGCATCATGAGGTGGTCACATTCTGGAGTGGCCGCTCCGAGAGGGTAGGTATCACCACACCACCAATGTCCACTCAGTTTAACGGGTTTGATCTCATCAAAACGGAGTTTTGATTATTTATGATATACGAGATTTACATGAGGACGAAGTTTTTTTTATTTTTCAAGACAAACCACACCCTTTACATTATTCACTAACAAAATCCCCCAACACATGGAAAATTCAAAATTGGTGACCAAGGAAATGGAAGAGTGAATTCAAACAAGGCTTAAGGCCAATGATGTTTGGAACTGATTTCAACGATGAATTGATATTCTGAAAGTAATCAGTAGCTCAAAGCAAGCTGAAGGCCGAAGATTGCATGAACCAGGAACAAACCCATGATACCTGTTCCCAGCACACCATGTACACTTCGTAGTCCAGGGTTCCCCTGCATACAAGGCTCAATTCCACTGCCAGTGAGTCGATGGTAGGTTTCATCACCAAAAGTTTGTAAATGAATCAAAGAAGACAATTTGGAAACAAAGAGTACCAAGGTTCCTACACACCTTTCCTTCCATACAATCAGCAAAAGCTCTCCCACGTACCATACTTTTCAAGTTTTTATATTCCAGTTAATAAGAAATTATATTCACAATCTCAGTTGAAGGTGGTGGTGGCTCCTTTTGAATTGGATGGGTGTAATGGATATCATATTATAACATTAGACTCATTTTAAATAAATTTATGAAAATTATCATATCCAATTCATAAAATTCAGTCACTTTATGAAAATTAGCATATCCAGTTCTTTATGAAATTGGAATTAGCATATCCAATAAAATTGGAATTGGAATTACCATATCCAATAAAATTCAGTCACTTTTTTGGAATTAGCATATCCAATAAAATTGGAATTAGCATATTCAGTCACTTTATTGAAATTAGCATATTCAATAAAATTGGAATTAACATATTCAATTGGAATTAGCATATCCAATAAATTGGAATTAGCATATTCAATAAATTGGAATTAGCATATTCAATAAAATTGGAATTAGCATATTCAATAAATTGGAATTAGCATATTCAATAAATTGGAATTAGCATATTCAATAAAATTGGAATTAGCATAAAATTGGAATTAGCATATCCAATAAATTCTTTATGCTAATTCAGACATAAATTGGAATTAGCATATGCAGACATAAATTGGAATTAGCAAATCCAATAAATTCTTTATTGGATATTCCAATTCTTTATTGGAATTAGCATATCCAATTCAGGCATAAATTGGAATTAGCATATCCAATTCTTTATTGAATTAGCATATCCAATAAATTGGAATTAGCATATCCAATTCTTTACGAAAATTATCTAAAAGAAAAGCAAGATTGATGACTCTTAAGACATTAAATTCAGTCACTTTGTATGAGTTGAAATTCATCTTCATTACACGTACGCATGGTGGTGTATGGGAGAGCTGATCTACCAGGGCATCCAATGGAGTTAGTACAAGGTGGTGTGTAGGAGAGCATAACCCGACATAGAAGATAAGTTCAAAGATCAATGGAAAGCACTCTGTAAAACTTGCAACTAGAAAACAAAACAAGAAAATAAATATAACAGGATTTGGAAGGGATGGGAAATGAAATTTTCATGTAATGCCTTCAATTCTCAATGCAACTCATAATAAGCAAAACTTCTGAGAGGAATTTGAATAGTTAAAGCAGGTTCGCAATTACTACCTCGAATAATGTGGCCAAGATTGTCTGAACTGTGAGGAGGGCGAGGCCAAGTAAACCAGTAAGAGCATGAGGACTGCAACCGAAGTATCAAAAACTCAGTAATAAACACAAAAGAAAGAGAGGTATGTGGGTAAAACAAACACTAGCGCATCAAATGCCTAGAATACAAAAATTTTCATCTATTACAATAACAATATCATGATGGATGACCCCATAGAACTGCTGACTATATAGTTTTCATTATACAAATAAACAACAAGAATGATATAATGTGACTTATGAACTTCCATCTAAACAAAACTCTTTATCTATTTTTAAAGCGTCAGATCATTAATAGCATTCTTAAAAAGAGCTATGAATCGGGAATAAAGTCTGAATTCCCGTTTGGAACACTGTAGGATGAACATGCTTCTTGTATCTCTCAAGCTTGTTTTAAGCGCTAGATTTAGAATCCATAAATTTAGCAAATCTTAAAATTGAAGAATGGAACTTGAAATGCTTACACTTTCACTAGGAATGGGGAGATGGGGTAACTTCCTTATATTTTCAAATCTGAAATATCAGAGTTAAAGTGATTTTGGAAGTAGTATATATACATACATTGACTATGGCTCAAATAAATAAAGGACTTTATCAAAAGGTATCCCAAGAGACGAACTATTTAGCATCTCATCCATTTCTATTGATTTAATTTCAAACATTCCATCAAAGGACATGTAATGGTGAGTAAGAATAGTTGACATTTTGAGTGCGGTTTGAAAAATGGGTGAAACATTAAACAGTTGATATTTTAGGTGTGATTTGATTAATTTCCCAAAAAAATGGTAACATCCGGCATCATCAAATTACCTCATAGAAAGAGATAAAACTACAATATACATTATAATCTCAAAAAGTGGGACCGAAGTGTAAAATATGAAATATATAAAACTATTTTTAAATTCTGAAAATAAAACATAATTTTGCTATAAATTTCTACACAATTAATTTGATGAATGACATATTTATTACCTTTCAAAGATGGGCTTATCCGAAGTGAGAAGGGACGTAATTCCCCCGGTTGCGCCCACCACGAAAAAGAAGAACATGCCTCCTAACAATTTAGGGTGCAAGTCCTTTGCTTTCGCCTTCTCTTCCTAGCCAAAGAATAAATGTTATTTTTGTGAATTCCTTCTTCACGAGGAACCGCACGGCAATAAGTCAATCGGCTGACTCATCAAAACTGTGTTCTTGAGATAAAGAAAACAAATGAATGAAAATACTTACCAAGTCATCAGAGTATTTAATTCTAAAACCCAAGTATGATCCATAACCTCCCATTGCCAACAACACAACCGCCTGTAAATTAAGTAAACCGGTGGTTGTTAACATGCAAAGTACTGCTCCTAACTTAAGCTCCATGAGAAAGTAATGCAATGCGATTGGTGGTATATGATAACGGTGCACAACGTGAACTCCATTGTTTTTCCATACGACATAGGGTGGAGATGAACAGTAACCAGTTATGAGCATCATTGGGCATTACTGCTAATCTCAACCGTCTGCCATCACGGCGAATCATCTAATAGACATTCGGTAAATGTTTTAAACAGAGTAATAACACAAAAATGGTTTGTATTAATAACCATAGTAATAAATGATGAATATGAATTCCAATCCTTAGCATTAATCGATTCAGGTGCTGATCTGAATTGCCTTAATGAGGGATTAGTCCCTACAAAATATTTTGATAAGACCACTCAAATCCTCAATACAGCTGATGGTAGTAGACTCTTTATTAAATACAAATTATCCAATGCTAAGATTTGTACGGAAGGACATTGTTTTCCAACTCCATTCATAATGGTCAAAGGACTCAGTCAAGCTGTGATCCTTGGCATACCTTTTCTTACTTTGCTATACCCAGTTACAGTTTCTCATACAGGTATTGAAACAAATACTCATGTTACTCATATTAGATTTGAATTCCTGGATAAACCAAAAATTAAAGAAATTAATACTGTTAAACAGAATATGAAATACAAAGAAAATTTCTTAGGATCTTTACAACTTGAAATCAAACATAAACTTATCAGCGAAAAACTCCAAACTCATGAAATAATACAAAAAATACAACAATTCAAACATTTTATTGAAAAAGAAATATGCAATGAATTACGCAATGCGTTTTAGCATAAAAAACAACATATTGTTGGATTACCATATGAACCAAGTTTTAGTGAAACAAAGATACCAACAAAAGCTAGACCAATTCAGATGAATACAGAGTTATTGCAAACATGTCAACTAGAAATAAACGATTTACTCCAAAAGAAATTAATACGTCCTAGTTCATCTCCTTGGAGTTGTTCTGCTTTTTATGTGAATAAAAATGCTGAGCAAGAACGAGGAGTTCCCCGATTAGTCATTAATTATAAACCTCTTAATAAAGTCTTAAAATGGATTCGATATCCCATTCCAAATAAAAAGGACTTACTTGATAGATTATTACATGCTGTAATCTTCTCCAAATTCGATTGAAAATTTGGTTTTTGGCAAATCCAAATAAAAGAGGAAGAGAAATATAAAACAACTTTCAATGTTCCCTTCGGACAATATGAATGGAACGTTATGTCTTTCGGTCTTAAAAATGCTCCATCTGAATTTCAAAAAATAATGAATGATATCTTTAATCCCTTTTACAAATTCATGATTGTTTATATTGATGATGTTATGGTCTTCTCTGAATCAATAGAACAACATTTTAAACATCTTCATACTTTTATTCACACAGTAAAAATAGCCGGATTAGTTGTTTCTGCTAAAAAGATAAATCTGTTTCAAACAAAAATAAGATTCCTAGGACATAATATCAATCAAGGAATAATCATTCCAATTGATAGATCAATTCTCTTTGCTGATAAATTTTCTGACAAAATTTTAGATAAAACTGAATTGCAGCGATTTTTAGGGTGTCTTAATTATATAAGTGATTTTTACCAAAATCTAGCTTTAGATGCTAAACCTTTATATGATCGGCTAAAAAAGAATCCTCCACCCTGGACTAATATTCATACTTTAGCTGTACAGAAACTTAAACTCAAAGCCAAAGAACTTCCATGTTTAAATTTATCTGATCCAACAGCTTTTAAAATCATTGAATGCGATGCTTCTGAAATAGGATTAGGAGGTATATTAAAACAATCAATTGATTCTAAAGAACAATTAATACGTTTTACTTCTAAAGCTTGGAATCCTACCCAAAAGAATTACTTTACTGTCAAAAAAGAATTGCTAGCCATTATTCATTGTGTTTGCAAATTTCAAACTGATATTCTTAATCAACATTTTTTAATTCGCCCTGATTGTAAGGCAGCCAAAGACATTCTGCAAAAGGATGTCCAAAATCTTGTGTCAAAGCAAATATTTGCCCGGTGGCAAGCTATTTTATCTGCTTTTGATTTCTCTATTGAACATCTTCACGGTTCTTCTAATTCTCTGCCTGACTTCTTAACCCGTGAATTTTTGCAGGGGGGACCATATACTACAACCTATACTACAACCTATACTACAACCTAAAGACTTTTCCTCCTACGGTTTGCAACTCTTTTTCTCAAATAAGAATATCAATACAAATATCATTATGAATCCTCAATCTCCAGATACCAAAGAAAAACATCCAATGGACTTAGTCCCAAGTAATAGGTATGGGCCTCTTATGCCTACCCATTCCTCTCTTAACCTGACACCCATGTCACCCCTTCGATCCTCGAACGTACCGGAATACTTAATACAGACTCTTCCACAGAGTCCAATATCTACTCCAAGTCCGGTGTTTTCCCCGGCATCATACCCACATAAACAAACCTCAACCTCTGTCAAATCCGTTTACATAGATACTGCTTTCTTACCAGATATAACCATTTCTGATGCTCATGCACAACTCGACCCATATAAAATAGCTCCCCTCTACCTTGCAAATCACTTGAATCCATCTTATGGCATTAAAACCCGTGAATGGTATGAAGCCATTCTCATGGAAACTGGTTCAGTATCTATTGTCCACTTCTACCAAGGTACTACTAAATTATATGCATATTCGAAATTTCAAATAAAAAAATTGCTTTCTTACGAGGATTGGGGATGTAATCCCCTCCAGGGAAAAAGGTTACTAAATTCAGAATTTTCATATAAATCTTATAAATATTCTGAATACATTGAAGCATGGCATAAAGTATTTGCCTACCAAAATCCAAATAATACTCATTCCTGGTATATCCAATTCAAACTTCTTGTCTTAGAAAGATTCCCCAGTTAGTTTCGCCATTGGTTTTTGATATGGGGATCTCAAACCCAAATATTGCCTGATGCTTTTCAGAGTCTACAAACAAAATTTGCTCAACATAATACTTGCACCAACCTAGATGATTACCATCTCTACTTCATGGCAATATATCAAATCCCTTGGATTCTCAAATGGGAATACTCCATTTCTGAAAATAATACTAACAATTATGAGTATATTCCCCAATTAGGCAAAACCTTGAAAGTCAAATGGTGGGACATTTTCAGTACCAATCCTGCCACACTACCTTTGAAACGAATGCCTCCACAACCTGAAACCTTCAATCCAGTGTCAAATAATACAGTGAGTCTTCCTACATTTTCAGCCTACCTTAAAAAGCTGAAACAATCACATCCCAATGCTACTTTTGACGAAATAGAGCAAACACTACTCCATGTTTTTGCTCCCGATACAACCATGCCAGCAACTTCAGAAGAAACAGTCCAATCAGGGAATCCCCTATTGGATGATTTCAGCCAGAGGCCTACTGACTGACCCGACCCAACGGTTCGATTCCCTTCTTCAGCACCGATATGACTGCTACAACATAAAGCAAGATAAAATATTCCCTTTTCCGAATAAAGACAAAAAAGCGACATGACATTGCACAGGAAAGATTCCCTTTTCATATGAAGACAAATCCAAGCTGCATAAAGGACAAATCATAAAGCGACATCACTCCTTCGCAAAGATGCTCCTCACCGATGTGACCAATTTGGGGTCACATCAGCGCATATCGACGGCTCCCTTTCCTTCTTCTCCCGCACAAACGATACTTACCTACCGACGATTGCACGAATCTCCACTATGCAAGATTCCTCCATCACTTCATCAGCCACCAGCATACCAGAGCTCGCCACGTCTCCCTCATCAACAAGACATGTCCCCTCTTCGTACCATCTTCTTATCCTGAAGAATCCTTCTACAGCAAGCTATCCATTTTCGACCACAACTTCCTTCCGCCAATCCCACACTTTCCTTCATCAGCAAGCTACTGATTTCAGCCACTCGTCTGAGACACAGCCCTCTATAAATACCTCTTCATTCAAGCAAAGAAGGCAGAGCGTTTTCAAGGAAAGACCAGCAGCAGCAGCAACCAAAGTTCTTCTTAAATAGTTCTCAATAGTTCTCTTCTCTTTTCAGTTCTCTCATCTTCTTTTCCCTCAGATAGCTTTCTTTCTCAATTAAGCTTTACTATCTTCAACCTTTTGTACATCACTCAAAGTCGGTAACGTCCCTCTGACTTTGTTTATTATATATGTGTGATTGTCATCTTTCTGATTTACCTTCTTATTATCCTTACGAATGGCGAAAGTTTGCAAGTTTTTGTATCTGTAACCAGTAAGTCATTTTGTAATCAGTTTTGTAATAAATAGTGAGGCAATTTAAATTTGTATTTACATTCAAAATCCAAGAGTATACTCATACTTCGTGGATTGTATTTGATATTTCTGTACTTCCAATTTTCATTATTGTCTTCGTGTTTTTATATTATGTCACTATCTGACAAAAATTAGTAACTGCTAACTCTGTAATTTTTCAATATCTTCTGTAACGTCTAGAAATACGTACAGTAATTCCAGCAAAAATCATAGGGTAGATCTTAGGCGTAAATATATATATGTATACATATATATGTATATATATGTATACATATATATGTATATATATGTA